ATCCATCTTGCCCATAGATTAATGGATATATCTAGGCTAGACCAATGAAAGGATTGAGTTACATTTAATCACCTGCTGTCTTTGCAGCCAGCACTTTAAGTAATTACACTGCCAGGTTTCCAATCTAAAATATTGTACATTTAAACTCCACGTGACAAAAGTAGGTGAAAAAAAATTGAAGAAATGCCAGTGTCAAAAACTCATTTGAAAAACTTTACTTGTATTACCAAAATTCTCTCCCCAGTTTCGTATTGCTATTTCTTCCAGAGCCTTCAAATTCACATGGAGATTTTCATGAGGCAAATTGGAGAAGGTGGAAATATTTGTAACAGAATAAGTAGTTTAAGTTATCTCCAGTTCAAGGCCAGACTTCCCATTATGCAGAACTTGGTGATGACCTCAGGCAGTAGATGCTGAGAAATAGCAAGAGAAGCCACCTGACTAACAATTCCTCTCTGTAGAAGGTTGAAGCTATACGCATTTTTCAAACTGACCTGAGCCAAGTAACCCAGAGACCAATTCACATTATAGTACCATGATGCCACCTTAACTGCCATGGTGACAACCTATGTAATTCTGTCATTTCCAGTTTATAGAAGATTAACTACAGATAGACAGTGGAACTTTGGTATCTGATGGGGCTAGGTTCCAGGACCCAAAATCTGTGGATGCCCATGTCTTATTATATATAGTAGTGTAGTAAAATAATGTCCCTAATTAAAATGATAAAATAAACAATGATATAGTGAAATATTTAAAATACAACTATCATAATTGAAAGAGCTGCCTACTAGGGCTGGGTAACCACGGAAAAATTTGTTTCTAAACTCGATTCATTTCCAGGGGGCGCTAGCGTTTCCAAATTCTAAATACTTCCGAAATTTTGAGATTTCAAAATTTCATTATTTATGAAATTTCGTTAATTTCGAATTGATTCGTTAATGGCGGACGCGATTGCGCAATATGCTAAAAAAACCTCCAAATGGGACAGGGGGAACTTCTGAAGCTTCCCTCTCCCTCTGTTGTTGACTGTTGGTGTGATGATTTATTTTTTATCATTGATAAAACAAACAACAACTATAAAACTTGCACCAGACATACAGAAATAATTACGAAACAATTACGAAACAATACGAAATAAATTAGAAAAATTGTTTCGATTTTTAATTACTCCTCACACTATTCCTGCATGGCTCAATATCGGATCGTAAGCTAATTTAAATACGAATTAATAATGAATTACGAAATTAACGAACGAAACCGCCCAGCCCTACTGCCTACCTACTGTCCTTTCACAACTGAAATGAACCAACCACCCTAGGCAATCTCTTCACCATACCTTAAGGTAAAGATGACCATAAATATACTAGGAACACAGATTTCTCCAAACCAGGAAATTTCACCTTATCATATTTCAGATGTATCCTTCATGGAATCCACAGAGTTAACAGCTGAATGAAATTAAACTAAATGCTTTTTGAGTTTTGTGGGACACAAGTTACACATGCATTATTGACTCATGTGCAACAATACCCACCCTTCAGCATTTCATAAAGTAAAATAAGGACATATTTGTAACACTCAGTGGTGAAGAATAACATTCAGGCAACTTTTTTTTCCTGGAGCAGAACAAATTATGTCAGATGCTGCCAGAGTGGTGAGCCATTGAATCAGATTCTTGAACAGTCATTCAACATATGGGTCATCAAATTTATCTGATGGCTCAACACTAGTTGAGAATAGCACAGAGATTTTGGTGAAAAGTGGGCAGTTGTGGGAGGTCATGGGGTCCCATTGCTCCTGAGGAGACCTGGAAAGGCTTCAGCCCCTCCACTCTATTCTTCCTATAACAATCGTTTTGGTTACCAAAGCAAGCCCCCCCCCTTTTTTTTTATTTTGCAGTTTTGAGTCCCTAAGGACATCTTAGGTACAGGAGAAGCCTTTTTAATAGTACCAGAAGGTAACCAAAGACCCTTTTCACCCTAGAGGATGCAAACGTGTCTCAAGAATGTCCCATGGTCCCTAGAAGTCATTTGAGAGCATATTTGATGCATGGTGGAGGGAGGCACCAAAACCTCTCAGGAAGAGCATACATGTCCCAGACTTTGCCTACCCTTGATAAGGGATATTTTCATATTTCTGGATGACAAAGTCATGACCAGAAAACATCCATTGCACTCTGGCCCAATAAGTACAACTACAATGCAACATCAATATCTGGAATTATTACGTTCCTGAACTTTCCAAGGAAACAGGATCTCACATATCATAGTGAAGCCTATTGAAATGAATTACTTGTTCCAGAATTTTCTAGATCGTCCAGGTGCTTCTAGGATGTTCCTCCACCAAATGTTGCCATAAGGTTGTCCTGGAGGACCCAGTAAAGTCCTAGAGGGATATCCATTTCAATGGGGAAAATATCAACAAATTATGATAGAATTTAGAAAATTTCTGTATTTTATCAGATGTAGCTAGGTATGGGGATCATGTACGTGTATAAGAGAAATTAAATAAATGCACATCAAAAAACTCCAGCCATTGTGCTTCACAGATTGAAAACTATATTGAGTATTCTTCCCTGAATTTACTCCTAGGGAAATAATGCACATAATTTATTAAAGTGAGCACGAAGTAGTCCTACTTGAAATACTTAAGTCCAATCAAAAAGGGAAGGGAATTGCAAATGTTTGACTTTCTGGCTGAAACTATTTAGCAGTTCCCAATATTTTGAAACAAAATAAACCTTGCTTCCAATCTTTGCTCATTTACAACACTTCTGGCACACTACTTTACTTCACTCCTAACAACTGATTTTAGGGCTGAACATTTTTAAGTCTGAGACATATATTTAATTTGCAGACTATAGGAACTTAGCATGCAATTTCTTAAAGCTGCCTCTTTTTTCCATCTCTTTCCTCTGAATTATTTCCCCCCTCTGAACTTGGTAGCTTCTCGATCCATATATATATATATATATATATATATATATATATATATATATATATGAAAAAACACACCAAATTGCAAATAAATATTGACTGTCATAAGAACAAAGGGCGCAAGGGAATGAAGACATGTGACACCAGCAGACAGATCAATTAATTGATCCCTGGCAAATCTGGATAACTTTATTTCTCAGTTTATTAAAGATTTTCAGAAGCTTCAAGTTACTTTTGGCAGAAGCTCAACTGTCAACAGTCATTAAATCACATACGGTAGAGTGAATTTGGTAGAGAAGGCGAAGACTTCAGATTTATCTTCCTTTCAAAAATTGTATTACGTATGGTTGACCTTTATAATTCAGTAAACACTTTCATACTTTCTTCTTCAAAAAATCCTGAGATAATAAGTTCACTCACCCCACCATTTTCAATGTCATTTCCTGGTTATTGAGGGCAATGCATTACAAGTGGAAGCCAATGGCCCTCTAGATAACCCTGGACTGTGACTCTTGACAGTTCACAGCATTGCTTCTGCTGACTTGTGCAATACAATCATACTTTGAGGACCACATGATTTCCAAACCTTCCATAAATATTGGCTGATATTTCTAAAATTTCTCCATAAAATGTTTAGACACATGTTTATGGTTAAGTTGCAGATATCTCACTTACGTGGATAAAATCCCATTAAATTCAGTGGGTGGTACTTTGGAATAGACTTGTAAAGCTTTTCCTGTCCATTTTTCTATAACTGTTCACTTTGAACTAGTATTTTAAAAACTAGTTTATTGAGTTTAAACTTCACAATTTGACAATACTTGGGTAAGGATAAAAGAAAGGGATGTCCACACTACACAGTTACAGTGCTTCAATTCCATTTTAACTCCTATGACTCCATCCTATGGAATCCTGGGATGTGTATCTTAATGAGATACTCATCAGCGTGCACCTTCAAATCCCCTTTTGCCTTACAGTGACCTCAGAAATTCCATGGGGTTTTCTTAAGGAAACCATTCCCTGAGGTAGTTTTGGTAGTCACTTCCCCTGAAATACAGTCTATAATGTTCAATTGTGGTCTTTCATCCAAGTTCTAACCTGTGCTTCCAATATCACACAGAATCTGATGCCTTTAGGATATTTAAACTTATTATATTTCCCTGAACTACACTATGAGAGCTCCGTGACACAGAATTCTCAGTATTCTGTGAAATACTAAAGCCAGTGTGCATTGGGATTGGTTTTGCCACAGTATATCCCAGCTATGTATTATTTGACCCTGTCTCATTCTCTGACTTCTGCTAATGAAAGATGGGTCGCTGAGATTGGGTTAACTTGTTTTATCCTACATTCAAGACCAAAAATGCCTGGACATTTCTGAACTTCCAAGTTTGACTTCTGACCCAATTTGGGGCTATGTACACCGGTCCTTTGACTACAAAATAATACTAAATTGGAGGAGGGAGAGAGAGACATAAAGAGGGGGAAATGGAGAAAGGGTGATGAGCTTGGTTTATCACCCTCCAGGTAATGATAACATATCACAGAAGATTAGCCCTTTTTAATGATGACACCCCACCTCTGAAACCTTCCCCTCTGGAAGGCATATCTGGCACTGTCTCAGCATGCTAATGTCATTTTGCCTTCACAGACATCTTAAAGGTTTTAGAACTTTGTAAACTTGTATTTTATGTTGCTTTTAGAAACATAAACATGTGCAGAAAGTATTTCTGAAACAAACTAAAATGTTGGTTGTTGCACAAAAACCTTTAAAACCATATGAACTTTACACAGAAGTCTTGAGGTTCTGTGTAAAGCTTTGAACTTAAAAGATTGTCTCAGTCCAAGATTCTCCTGATTGGTTTCCCAACACCAAATTTGCCAACCATTTAAAAAATATTGTTGAATATTTTCCTAGTAGCTAGTTCCATTTTAGATATATTAAAATGCTAACAATGAGAAATAAATGAAGGATTTTTCCTGTAACAGGTAAATCCAATTCACTTCAATGCACATCTTTCTTTTTTAATTCATTAACTTTGCATGAATGTACTGACTTACCCTCTCTGGAAGAGATCCACATTATGGAATTTGTGCAGTTCCACAGAAAAGTCAACAGTTCCCTGGACCTCCGACATGATGTCTTCAGGTCATCACCTAAAGCATAGATGAAAAAAGAAGAATGTGAGCAGATACAGAAGATGAATATACTAATATGTTGATATTAACTCATTGAAGAAAATTGATTTTCTCATCATTGACCCATTACATTAAGCATGGATTAAAACATGTTGGTGGTTTAATCATTAAATATTTTAACAATTTGTGTACAACTACTGAACACTGACATGCAAAAACATCAAAACATGAAATATTAATCAGTACTCAAAATTCTAACAGTGCTGTCATATAACAACCTTTGAAATGATTTTCAAGAAATTATAACAAATGACCAGGAGATGTTTAATGGACTATTTCCAAGCCTTGAATTGTTTCAATGGCATAAAGGCTCAAATTCACAAAGACTAATTTGCAGAATTCCAATAATTTTCTTGCCCAGTACTTCTTTTTCTAACAGCAATCAGACAATGTCTTCGGGGAGCTTTTCAAAGGAACTTGAAAATAATAGATGTTCTTCTCTCATATTAGATGATGGCATGAAAATCAGGGTGTTGACGTGATTTGAAGGTTCCACTAGATGTGCATCTACACTGCTGAATTAATTAAGTTGTCACAACTTTAACTGTTATGGCTAAATGCTAAGGAATCATGAAGGCCAATGAAGGCTAAACACTTTCCTTCTAAAAGTTTAGAAGAAAAATGTTTTGATTGGATTGATTTCCACCAGCATTGGCATTTACATTTACTTTTGTACCCTAGCAACTAGTGCTGATGCCTCACCAAGGTAAAACTCTAATGATTCCATAGCATTAAAACCAAGGAGTGGTTTGGCTTTGCTCCATGAGAGGGGATGTTTAGGAGCAATTGTGTCCACCGTCCTGGCCATTTCCCCATTCCAGAGGTCAGCCAGAGCTTTGACAGATTCACCTGCCAAGATGACTGGAAAATCCCCAAGAGCCATCAGGAATCCATCTGTATCCATAAGCCTCCTGGGGCGGAGCATCTCAATTGGTCCCCCACCCCTGTGGAGTTTTGGAGTCCAAGCAAGTCTAAACCTGAGCAGGTTTAGTGATTGGTCCATGACAACGGGAGTGTGACAAGTTCCTCCACATCAAAATCACCATCATCCCTTCCTGCACAAAAAACAAGGTCCAAAGTATGTCCCGCAGTATTGGTAGGGCAAGATACCACCTGGGACAGGCCCATAGTTGTCATGGAGGCCATGAAGTCCTGAGCCACTTCCCACAGGGCAGTCTCAGCAAGGATGTTGAAGTCCACCAGCACTATTATCCTTGAGACTCTAATACCAACTCCAAAACTCACGAAGGGAGATTGTTCAGCAGCAGAGTGGACGGTACACCAACAGAACTCTTATTCTGTCCCAGTTGCCCACCTTTAGATAAATACACTCAAAGACTGTTGACTGTGGGATGGGGAACCTGGTCAGAGGGGTTCGAATCTTGATAGACCACTGCAACTCTACCTCCCCATCCCCCCACAAGTCTCACATGCTGCTACACAGAGAATCGTGGTAGGCTGATCTGAGAGAGATTAACTCCAGTCTCATCCAGCCACGTCTCCATGATACAAACCAGGTCATCCAGGATAAAGTCCTGGATGGCAGCTTTTTTCCATATACTGACCTGGCATTCAACAGCAGCATTTTCATCCTAAGGGGACTGTCTTTTGAACAAATCGGCAATGCCAAAGATTCTAGAAATGTTCACATATGTGTCTTGTACTAGTCCTACCCCAATTAAAATAAAAATTAGCAAACTACTCCAATAGAATGGTCAAATAGCCGTCAAATTTATTTTGTTATCAGCACAGCTGGGACTAGTTACACATGGTATTGCATCAGTTGTACCTACTTTACACATAAAGCTCATGTTGATGTAAATCTGTTAGTTGTAGAGGAGCTGCTAGATTCCTTCTCCTGCATTTTACACCTGATACTGTTCAGTTTTTATGAGGATTATAGAACCTCAGTTGTAGCATGGTTTTGTGCTTTCCAATTTCTGGCATAATTTTCTTGGCACAAAATGGATATTGAAATACACGTAAAAGTACCTATTTTAGCGTACTATGCATCAAAAGAAAATGCTTACAAGAACAAATGGTGTAATCTGCAGAAATATCCTGTGTAGCTCGACTTCTTGGTAAGCAGGATTGATAAAGTTTGCTATCTCAAAGCAGGTTCACATACAATCACAGAATCATGAAATCTGTGATCATATCTGAACCTGCTGCAAGACTCACACAAATTTTATCAGCTCCATTTATCCATGGTACTTCTTGTTTGCTGAAACTCAGCTCATGAGATAAATGTGAACACTCATATCTGTAACTATCACACACACAGAGTGCTGATTCCGACTTAAGATATTTTGCTTTCTAAGAAAGAGCAACATGTGATTCCCACTCACTCATGTCAAGGTATTCTGCAGCCAAAGCCAGTCATATTGTTTTAATATATGAGGCAACAATTGACACAAGTACTCCTCTCCAGACCTACCAACAATAAACAGCAACACAAACATTTACTAGATTGCTGCTCACTCAAGACACCTCAAATCTGCAGTCTAAGAGAACTACATCCCCCTGTTAAATGGCTGGGCAGGCTCTCACCATTCCTGATGATGCAACATAACTTTGGTGGAGATTGCTGGTCAAAGATAAGAGTATTTGTGACTATTTATCAGCTGCCAACCAACCAGAAAAAAATTATAAGTTTATCTGATTCATCTCCCTTTGGCCCTTTACAAAGGTTTTCATTTGGTAAATTTTATTATAAATTTCATTAATATGGTATCTCTAAGAATCTGTAGATCTTCAAGTGCAACTGCTGGAAGTTGACCGTAGAAGTCCACTGTAGCACCTGGAGAAAACACTTCTCTCCAGTGCAATTCTATGGTCAATCCCAGCAGAAGATGACCATGGAGTCACTGTTGAAGACTTAGATACCCTAGAGGTGCAATTGCTTCAGGTTAAAAGCAAATTGTTTATTTAAGTAGTTTTTTCCTACTTTTGCAAGAGTCCAGAGGCCCCAAACCCAAGCAAACTTCAAAACCATCAAGGTCAGAGAGCTCAAGTGGCTACAGACATGAGTGAAATTTACAAGAGAGACTACCAACATACAAGAAAATTCAGAGAACTGCATAAGCAGCATACAACATCCATTTACACACTGAAAAGCCCAATGCTATTGTTTACACCTGGCAATCTTGTTTACCAACTTGACTGCTAATCAGTCCACTCAGCATTGTGACTGTAGTAAAAAATAATAAAAAAGCATTTTTTTTCCAGTCATGCTAGTGTGTTTCCATCACTAAATCCATCTGAAAGGGGTGAAAAGGGAGGTGGGGAATCAAGAATGTAGGAATAAAAATAAACACTTCATTTGACAAGGTAATGACTCAAAAGAAAAGAAAAATAATATCTGCTGCCTTCTTATGAAATAGCACAGATTTCCATCGTACATTTTCCAGACACTGCATTGCATTAAGGTATATTGGTTAGAATTTGGGTCTTAGGTGGAAAAATAGATTCAGTAAAAACAACATCTTCTCCCTACCTCCATTATGAAATGTAATCCTGAAGAAATGACATCTCTCCCTCTCTATCTCTTTCTTCCTTCTTCTCTCTCTCTCTCTCTTTCTGGCAGTGTGTGCCGGTAGCTCAGAAATCAATGAAGTCAGATTCAGAGGACCAAAATAATAAGCAGACTCTGGAATAAAGGGCAATGGTGACTCATAAGCTAAGATGTGTTTGCTTACAATAAGGTGTTTGAAAAGTGAATTGAGCTGGGAAGTAACAATGAGGAGGATGAATATAAGGATGAATATGAATATGAAGATGACACATTGACCGAGGCATCCTATTACTTATTTCTAATTTAGAGTTAGGACATCATAGATGTATTATATTCTTATTCGCAAATGTGGCATTATTGCCATGCTTGCAAATCATCCTGAAACCCACCTTTAGAAGTCAATCAGCCTTCTGTGTTGCTGTCAAGCAAAGTGCTGGAGGATGATGTGGCCAGGCCTCTCCACCCAATGCATTGTACTATGATATTGCCAGGTCCTGTTCCAAGTCTTCTGCTGGGAGGGAGATGGTCTCATCATACTTCAGAACCTCACTTGGGAGCAGCCCAAAACCATCACTCAAGGCAGCTCCCTGATTTTGAAGGAAGGTTTCAGGAGTTAAAACATGATACAAGATTGTGGCCATGTGTTTAACTCAGGATCTTGGACAACAATATTCCTTTAATCTCTCCAGAAATGTCCATTCACTGTTCAACTTTGTTGATATCAGGAGCAGGTAACATGGGCTTTATGCTTCATAGCCATATTGACAAAGATATAATGTCTCGGTCAAAAGAAGTAATGGTGCCACCCTATTCTAATTTGGTCAGACCTCAGTTGTGTCAAATTCTGGTATCACCATTCAAGAAAGATATTGACAAGCTGCAACATGTCCAGAGGAAGGTGACCAAAATCTAACAGCTAAGGGAGCTAGGTATATTTAAAATGAAGGTGAAGGTGAAGAGACATGTTTAAATATGTGAGATGGTGTCATCTCGGAAATGGAGCAAGCTAGTTTTTTTCTGCTCCAAAGACTAGAAGAAAAGGCAATGGATTCCGAATATTGGAAAGGAAATTCCATCTAAATATTAGGAAAAGCTTCCTGATGGTAAGAGCTCTTTGACAATTGAATAATGAATACACTTTCTCAGAGTATGGTGAATCACCATTTTTAGAGCTTTTCAAACAGAGGCTCGATGGCCATTTGTTGGGAGTGGTTTGATATTGTCATGAGTGGATGATCCTTGTGGTCTTTCTCAACTTTATGTTTCTAAAATTTCTATTATTTTATTTTTCAATAGTCCTAATAAACCGAATAATGTACCACAAAACCTAAATGCCAAGGACAGAAGAAGGGAAATATTACTGCTTTCCTTCTCAACTTCTACAAAGTATTTGGACTCTCTGCTTGGATGAATCTTTGGTCCAATCTAACAGGATTCTTACTCCTAAATTTCATTGAGAGTCCTAACTTCATAAATCTTATGTAATAAATAGTATTTGCATCTGTCTTAATATGTTTAAAATCTGTATCCTGACTAAATTATTTCCTTTCATTTCTAATTCACCACACCCTGAAGGTGTCATGGCAAGTATCTGGAGAGGGATGAATTAGCTTCTTTGTTGGCCATGCTAGCATCACATGAATCCATAAACATCCCATTTGCTTATGATGTTGCAATTTAGAAAGAAAATCTGGAGGAAAAAAATGACTTTTCAATGTGTTTTGTAAGGTCTTTCCCACCAAACATACATTCTCTCAAAGGGCATACTTTGAAACCAATCTGGTTCTGAAATATGCATTTTTATATGTGTAACATTGCCATTTTAAAGTGAGAAATGCATCACAAAAATAACTGGCTGGGGAAATCTTGAGGACTATTATGTTCCTGTTTTCATATTCATTCAAAATATCTGATTGTGCTTAAAGTGAGATTTCCTGGACTGAAAGAGGTCTGAATCTTGAAAAATAAACCACATCCTGTTTAAAAACACCAAGAAAAAACCCATCTGTATGCTGTGTTAGTCAGAAACTGGAGATGTTATCATTTTAGAGTTACAACTCTCCAGAACGAGCCAGAGTGCACCTACACTGTAGAACTAAAGCAGTATGACACCACTTTAGCTGTCATGGCTTGAAGCTATGAAATTATGTGTGTTGTAGTTTGGTGAGATACCAGCACTCTTTGACAGAGATGACAAAACTTATAAAACTATGATTACTAGGATTTCATAGCACTGAGCAATGGCAGTTAAAGTGTTGTCAAACTGTACTCATTCTACAGTGTAGAGACACCCTCAGTTAGGATCGTCAAAGTCCATGATGATAGAGGATTTCAGGAGGTTTTAACTGAAAAAAGCGACTTTTCCAAATTCAGGCAGTCATTAAGACATGCACATAAATGGCATGTGTTCTTTAGTATCCATTTTGTCTGAGGGATCATTGCTGCTGGAAGGTGTCCAGAAGAGGGCAACTAATCAAAGGTCTGGAGACCATACCCTATGAGGAGTGTTTTAAAAAACTTGGGATGTTTAGCCTGCAGAAGAGAAGGTTGAGAGGAGACATGACAGCCATGGATAAATATGGGAAAGTGTGTCATAAGGAAGAGGAAGCAAGGTTGTTTTCTGCTGCCCTGGAAACTAGAACTAGAACAAATTAAAGGAAAGGAGATTCCACTTGAACATTAGGAAGAACTTCCTGACCATACAAGCTGTTCAACAGTAGAACTGTGCTGGTATGGCTATACCAGGAGCTCCAACTTTATTTGCTTTGTATTAAATGTTTGCTTGCAGTCCAAGGTTTCAGGGACTCTGCAGATAGGTGGCTTCCTTTGGTTGCAGTCGTAGGGCAAGTCACCTGTCCATCATCGTTAAGTTTTGGTCCCACCCCGGGAAGGGAGCCATTTTTAGTCAGTCTCACACAAGGTAACTAAGCTATAGGACGTAGACCAGCTCGACCCGTAGAAAAGCTTCCTTTCTTAAGAGCATCCAGGGGAAAAAGAACCTCCCGGGAAAAAGGATCATCCAGGGAAACTGACCATCCAGGGAAACAGATTCACTGAACTCAGCTGAAATATCTTCAAGCTTCAGCTGGTAAGGTCTGCTCGATAGCCAGACGCATTTGGAATCGGTAGTAGCACCCACACTGACGAGGCATAGATAGAAAGCCGCCTGGGAGAGGTTAAAAAGGGGTTTTTCCTACGGAGAAGTTTCAGTTGATCGAAGTCAGGTGCCAGTCCATTGAGGACTAGACTAAGAAAGCCTTGAAGTGTTGTTTGAACCATTGAAGATTTGTTGTTTGTTCCATAATAAAGACTTTGTTGTATCATTAAAGACTCTAAAGACCATCACTTCAGAGAAATCCCTGACAACCTCTCTGAGGCGCCCCTGGCTTCCCACTGGGCTTAAAGTATACGTCCTATAGAAAAGTACAGCTATTACAGGTCCAGCGCACAACAGAACAAGAACTCTCTGCCTCAGAATGTGGTGGAAGCTCCTTCCTTGGAAACCTTTAAACAGAGACTGGGTGACTCATCCGTCAGGGATATTATGATTGTGCTTTTCCTGCATGGCAGGAGGTTGAACTAAATGGCCAATGAGGTCTCCTCCAAACCTATTATTCTATGATTCTATGATCATAGGGGCTGTAGTCCAAAACAGGAACCTTTTTCCAAAGCTATGGCAGTGATCAGGGGTGAATCTACACTGTAGGATTGATGCAGTTTAACACTAACTTCAATGGTATGACTCAATGTGATGGGATCATGGGAGTTGTAGTTTTACAAGGTCTTTAGTTTTCCCTGCTAATGAAAGCTGGCGCCTCTTCAAAGCATTTGAGCCATGGCAGTTAAAGTGGAGTCAAACTGCATTAATTCTACACTGTAGAGCCAGCCCAGCAAGCACAAGCATGGTTAAGTAGAACATATTCCCCAGATGTTGTGCAAAATTGCACTCTGATTTAAATCACACAGTCAACCTAGAAATTGCCTTTTAGGCTTACAGACGGCACCTTTCCCTGATATAACAGAAAGACAGGAGTGGGTGGAAGAGCAATCCAAGTCACTCAGCAAAGCCTGAAAGGTTCCCAAATTGAACTGGAATTTTACCATTGAGAGCAGCAGTGCCTTCCAACCCCCTGGGAGGTGATCTCAAACAGAATGTTTTCCTTGTAATCAATCAGCCTGCTTTGTGCAGATTAAAACAAACATGATAACCTGCAACCAGGGAAGAGATACATTTCCACCTGCCCCCAAACTGAATGTATCCATCTGCAGTGTGGCATGTAATCCAATCCTGCAAAACGTAGCCACTCAATGGTGCAAAGCTTAATTCAAGAAACTGTGGTTACAGCAGCTTCTTTTGAATAGTCAAGCAAAAGGCTGTGAAAGGTTGAAATGAATGGTGTTAGATGCTGGGAAAAGGGAGGGCAGGCAGGAAGACAGGCATTAATTCTATGGTAATTCTACACCGTAGAATTAATGCAGTTTTGACACCACTTTACTGCCATGATTCAATGTTATGGATTCCTGAGAGTTGTAGTTTAGCAATGCACCAGGACTTTCATCATACATGGCTAAAAAGCTTGTAAAATAGACACCATAGAATATGCAACAGCAGTTAAAACGGTATCAAACTGCATTAATTCTACAGAATGGATGCACCCAGGGAAGCACGTTCTAAATGTCTCCTAAATGTTTTCATTTCAGTGTGTTTCCAATCCAAAAATACATAATATTTGAAGAAATTTATAGATATATGCTGTTTCATCAGGCCCAGGTTATGCCTTGTTTGTTGGTGTTTTGTGATCTTTAAGTTATTTCCAATTTATGGTGGTCCCATGGAAAGCTTATAACAAAGCTTATAACAGACTACACAAAGAAGCCATTGAAACACACAAGCATGTGGACAATTTCAACAGAAAGGAGGAAACCATGAAAATGAACAAAATCTGGCTACCAGTATTAAAAAAACTCTAAAATTACAACAGCACAACAACAGAGAGGAAACAAACAAGGACATCTAATCACCTCTCAACAAAAGTTTGCTCTAGGCACTGTCAGGCCATTATATGCTAATCAAGGTGGTCAGTTGAAACATTCACACCCTAGCTCCAGCAGACAAGAGTCCTTTGTCTCACCCT